TATATATTTAAAAAATCCCAGTAGGGATGGTAGGAGTCCCACATGATCGGCCAAGCTGGTTTTGCAGACCCAGTCTGCACTCTGGTGCCTCAACAGAGTCCCCGAAAGACAGAAGAAACTGTCAGGTGGCTCAGCTCTCCAGCATCTACCAAACACTGAAATTTAAGCTTTGGGTGGGCTTACCCTTTCAAGTTTCAAGTCTCTGGGAGGTAGGTCCTTACTACATAAGGCCTAATCTAACCAACAGTAGAAGAGTGAATAGGGAAGAGAAAAGTCTACAAGATGCATCTACAAACAAAAAAAAACATTGGGACGTCAGGTATAAAATCTTGTGCAAAGGAACAAGAAAGCCTCATGAACATCCAATTGCATTCCAGCCATTGTTTTCTTAGCTGGGTAATATGAGCAAAGATCTGATTGGCTGGGATGGGCAGAACGTCCACTCCTCCCATTATTCATACAAAAGCCCCTTTGTGGAGAACAGACTGAGGCCGTATAACAAGGTCACAAGACGTTGTAAAGTGGAATAATTCGCTTTCAGCAGAAGCTCCCATTACTCTACTTTACACCGCACACCAACATAAATATATATACAAGACACATATGGCAGCTGAAGGCCGCAGAGATCTTTCAGCAAAATAATAATGACTTTTATTTTCTTTAATCTTGTTAAGTTTTTTTTTGTAAAATTATTTTTAAAATTTACTGTCAAATGACCCCCCCGGTCATTTACCGACAGTGCCATCGAGGAGATTAGGGGAGAACGGCAGTAGAATTAATGGGAAAAGTATTTTGGGGCTGCGGTGAATGATTGCTCGCCTGCCCGTGTCTCAATACATACCATGCAGTGTTTTGTTCTCTCCAAAGGAAAATAACATGACATGTTACTCTACAAGGGGGGAAAAATATCACCTACATAGCCACGTACATAGTTATCCCGTGCGGACCAGCCTGGGTAGAGCTGCATGTGATTAACAGAGCTCCGTGCAAGAATTACCCAACAAACCTTCACAGTCAATAAGGTGAAACAAAAAGGTCTATTAGTAACAAATAACAAATTTTGTTTTATTTTTAGTAGAGTAACAAGCACATTTCCTATCTCACAGGACCCCCTGCAACCCAACCCATCATTTTAACAAAATTTTGAACACATTAAAGTCTCTTTGAATGTAATTTTTTTATAAGTTTAAATGTGCAGATTTCATCAAAATAACCCCAGGTGATCCCACCAACAAGGTCCTTCTTCAGGCAACTGCTATTATAGGGTGATAACTCTTTGCCCGTCTCCCAATTGTGATCAGACGTTGTCACCCTGTCACACAGGCTTCTGGTGGGAACTACAAGTGGCCATTTAAACGCAAATTACAGTCGATGCTTAAAACAGCTGCTGATGAGCATTGCATTGAAACTCCTGCACTATAATCTTTAATACCCTCCCAAGTCCATTTGTTTGCTCCTACACATAACTCCTCATAAAGCCGGCAGTTCTGGGGCCTCAAAATTTGTTGGCAACATCTACGGAACCTGCAATGACATTTTAGGTGAAATAAACAACCTTTGTACTCTAATCTGCCCCTGTGGCCCTCCTTCTCTTCATTCTCCCCTAGAGATAGCTACGTGACAATGTTTTACCAACCAAGTGTTTTACAAAGTGAAGGTGGGAGCTTTGCCGTTGCGGTTAATGGTTTAGTGCTTTGTTGAGTTCCTTCTACACTTACCCTTCGGCCGAGGATCTGGTTAATGGCTGCGCTCTCTTTTAATGTACATTCGGCTACAACCTTTGCTCGCATTTCCTTCATATACAACATAAATGCATTAAGAGGTTTCTTTATGTGAGGTTTTTTCTTTTCTTCTTCCTTTTTGGAATCCTGATGTTTTCTGTAAAATGAAATGACAGAACGTCAGTAACTCTGCAGAGGGTTCCTTAAGGACTGAACATTTTTACAGAAGGTTTAGGAAAACACATGAACTGGAAACTTTAACTAAGAGAAGGATGCCCTGAAACATGGATGGAAAACCATCATTACAGGATCAGGAGATCTGATATGGGGATGGCCTGTAACATGTATGGGAAACCATCATTACAGGTTCAGGAGATGTGATAGGAGGGTGGCCTGAAACATGGATGGAAAACCATCATTACAGGTTGAGGAGATCTGATATGGGGATGGCCTGAAACATGGATGGAAAACCATCATTACAGGTTCAGGAGATCTGATAAGAGGGTGGCCTGAAATATGGATGGGAAACCATCATTATAGGTTCAGGAGGTCTGATAAGAGGGTGTCCTGAAATATGGATGGGAAACCATCAATACAGGATCAGGATATCCGATAGGAGGGTGGCCTGAAGCATGGATGGGAAACCATCAATACAGGATCAGTAGATCTGATAAGAGGGTGGCCTGAAACATGGATGGGAAACCATCATTATAGGTTCAGGAGGTCTGATAAGAGGGTGGCCTGAAACATGGATGGGAAACCATCATTATAAGTTCAGGATATCCGATAGGAGGGTGGCCTGAAACATGGATGGGAAACCATCATTATAGGTTCAGGAGGTCTGATAAGAGGGTGGCCTGAAACATGGATGGGAAACCATCAATACAGGATCAGGAGATCCGATAGGAGGGAAGTTGTGTCACTTTGTGTGGACGATTTACAATACGAGGTAGACTTCCAATAAGTGCTTAGTACTTCTACATTGATTGGTCATTTGCATATGACTGGACAAAACATGTCTATACGGATAAAAAACCTAGAGAAGGATGTCCACATGATTAGAAGCCTGGGTTAAGAACCTCTACATGGGTGAAGATAAATTGGAGGATGTCTAAATGAATTGAACAATGTAGATAGATATTAACATGGATGGAAGGTTGGGTGGGGAAATCTACATATGTAGAAGACTTGTGGGATGATATCTAAATGAATGAAAGGCTAAACAGGAAACATCTATGTGGATGAAATATGGTGGAAAGTATGTGTACATGGCTAAAAGACTTGGTGGCGGTTGTCTACATGGATGGAGGACATTTACAGAGATAGGAGACTGAGTAGAAGACATTTACATGAAAGGAACAATGGGGAAAAGATGGCAACATGTCAAATGGACAGGATGGATGATGTCTACATAGTTACAAATATAGTTACATAGTTAGTCAGGTTGGAAAAAAAATCAAATTTTTACCAATTATAACTCATAGGCAAAAACAAATACATTGAAATGGATGGAAGAATGGAACAGAGGAAGACTACAAGGATGGAAGAATGAGTGGGGGACATCTACCATCAACATGGTTTCAAGGCTGGGCAGAGGATGTCTAAATACAGTAGCTCTATATGGCTAAAAGAATTTGCAGAAGATGTCTACATGGATGTAAGACCAGGTGTATGGATGTCTACATAGATGTAAGACCAGGTGTATGGATGTCTACATAGATCTAAGACCAGGTGTATGGATGTCTACATAAATTTAAGACCAGGTGTATGGATGTCTAAATGGATGTAAGACCAGGTGTATGGATGTCTACATAGATGTAAGACCAGGTGTATGGATGTCTACATAGATGTAAGACCAGGTGTATGGATGTCTACATAGATGTAAGACCAGGTGTATGGATGTCTACATGGATGTAAGTCCAGGTGTATGGAGGTCTACATGGATGTAAGACCAGGTGTATGGATGTCTACATGGATGTAAGACCAGGTGTATGGATGTCTACATGGATGTAAGACTAGGTGTATGGATGTCTACAAGGATGTAAGACCAGGTGTATGGATGTCTACATGGATGTAAGACCAGGTGTATGGATGTCTACATGGATGTAAGACCAGGTGTATGGATGTCTACATAGATGTAAGACCAGGTGTATGGATGTCTACATAGATGTAAGACCAGGTGTATGGATGTCTACTTAGACTGGACAGTATCACCACATGTATACAAGGAAGCCTGTGCAGAGAAAGACTCCTGTACAATGGACCATACACTTTCACCACAGGAAGAAGATGGACATGTATCTGGATGGAACACTTTATCAGTGGAGGACATGTACCCTATCAGATTAAAAAAACTATAGAGGGAAATAGTCTACAAAAATAGCAAACCTGAATGGAGAAAGCCAAAATCTAATAAAAACATTTACTGCAGACACAGCTCATCTGTATCAAATGAGAATTTCTTTGCATTCAGAAGACATCTATGTTAATAAAACAATGTAGCTAAATACAGAGGGGATTGGTATCGATGGGGGATATATACTGTCCTGGAGGAAGTCTACCTAGGTTGGACAGTCTCACTAGTGTTGGAGGCTGTGCTCACAGACATAGACTTCTGCTAGAGGGACCTTAAGTACTGGCCATTTTAGTGATAGGGTGTATATAGAGTCACATATAATAAAAAGGAGACTCACGAGCTGTGCAGAGATCCCACGTCACCCTGGGAAGATTCCTGTTTGACGGTTGGGTTCACTATGGCGGGATGAGGAATTCCAGTTGTGTGTAAACCGTGGTGGGGCGGCACCATGTGTGGAGGGAATCTGGAGGAGAGAAAGCTGTGTAAATTGTCAGAATTAACATAAATGAAAAGTGAAGGTCAAGCATTTCTACAAATTACTGTAACACAATTCCCCCACACGCTGAGCCCCCCACTGCTATCAATAGACATTGTCATGTGAAAATGGAGGTCCAACAGGACCAGTAAGGCAGAATTTGGCTTATTTGTCACATTTGTAACACTCAGTTCTAAAAAAATGTGTCGAATAAGCATGCCGCCATCTGGTTCTGTATCTCTAGAGGCCAGGGGTGCACGGTCAACACCCTCATGAAGCCGCCAATTATAGACACAATTATACAGATAAATATACCTTTTCTACCTGTAGCTGCATAGCTTCCTGAAAACACAGCACCCTGCCTTAGCACTCTTCCCCAATCCAAGCAGTGGGCTGGCTCTTGGGGAGGGGTTATGCAAATTATAAAATACATCTATAGTCTATAGACCAGCCCATAACCTGTTAGGGATGTGTAAATTGGGTCCAGGTAGGAAGGACGGGCGGGTGGTCACATTGGAAGGTGAACTGGACTTTAAGCTCTTGTATGGTGGGCACATTCAAATGACAAGAGACCAGTGTGAAGGGTCCACATCTTCTGTACAGTGCTGTGGAATATGACAGTGATATACAGTTGTGCCCATTCTCGACCTTGTAGGGTTGTGTTTTCAGAAGTCAATGTAGCTTATCCTCAGCTAATGCACATTTTAAGTTATCATAGTCAAGTTATAGCCAAAAGTAATTTTAATGTAAATCTCACATTCTTTTTTTTCCATGCCTTTATAAATCCTCTCTTTAGATGACATCCAAATAACATTGAATATGATTAGCATCCATGCACAATGACTGCTCAGATAACCTCAGTAAGCCATATAGACAGTTTATTGCTTTAAGTTAGGTCAGTTCTGGTAGAATCACCGAGTGAGAGGAGTGATAGCAAAGCTCAACCATTGTGCCGCACTGCTAAGCAGGAAGCAAAACATCCCAATAATTAGAGACAATACACAGAAAGGGGTTTTGAACATTAAGGATCGGTCTATACTTGTCAGTGTATTCAAGCAAGCGCATCTTCATACTGAATAGGCTGGGAGAGCACCTGCAACATTTTCATCAATACAACACAAAGGCCCCACAATGCATGTAATGCGGTGTGCTAAAATACACATTTTATTGTGCATTACTTACAAATGGGGTGCTAACATAAGGGGCCAGTCCACCCGGAACTGATATCCCAGTAAGTCCTGGAAAAAAAGGCCAAATGATCATCTCATCTGTATACACATCCTCTGTGCCCATTATGAGGGGCTCCCACCATCCCTGTGCTGAGTTCCCGGGTCTGTACACCTGCTGTGCCCATTAGGAGGGGCTCCCACCATCCCTGTGCTGAGTTCCCGGGTCTGTACACCTGCTGTGCCCATTAGGAGGGGCTCCCACCATCCCTGTGCTGAGTTCCCGGGTCTGTACACCTGCTGTGCCCATTAGGAGGGGCTCCCACCATCCCTGTGCTGAGTTCCCGGGTCTGTACACCTGCTGTGCCCATTAGGAGGGGCTCCCACCATCCCTGTGCTGAGTTCCCGGGTCTGTACACCTGCTGTGCCCATTAGGAGGGGCTCCCACCATCCCTGTGCTGAGTTCCCGGGTCTGTACACCTGCTGTGCCCATTAGGAGGGGCTCCCACCATCCCTGTGCTGAGTTCCCGGGTCTGTACACCTGCTGTGCCCATTAGGAGGGGCTCCCACCATCCCTGTGCTGAGTTCCCGGGTCTGTACACCTGCTGTGCCCATTAGGAGGGGCTCCCACCATCCCTGTGCTGAGTTCCCGGGTCTGTACACCTGCTGTGCCCATTAGGAGGGGCTCCCACCATCCCTGTGCTGAGTTCCCGGGTCTGTACACCTGCTGTGCCCATTAGGAGGGGCTCCCACCATCCCTGTGCTGAGCTCCCAGGTCTGTACACCTGCTGTGCCCATTAGGAGGGGTTGCCACCACCCCTGATCTCTCAAACCCAGGAATTAGGACAGGGAGATCTCTCTATTGACTCATCCAAGACATACAGAATAAGAAGCATGGGGTTGACACAGGCTTCAGCTAGAATCAAGCTATCACCTTAGGGCGGCCTTATCCTTTAACCTCTATTGATAAGATGAAAAAAAAAAAAAGGAAAGTATAAAAAGTCGGCGTAACAACTGCAACACTTTCACTCATTTGATTTTTATTTGTGAACGAGACCCGGACACTCTCTGTTCAGAAAAAAAAAAATCATCATTTGGCTAGATGGAAATAAAGAAGCGTGACGTTCCTCATCACAAAGGTGAGTCTTGTGTTCTGCAGTAAACACCCCGAATGCAGCTCATTAGAGGTCCCTGTCCGCTTCCATGGCTCCGAGCCAGAATATAATGATGACAGTTAACTAAGTAAGGACAACTAATTTTTTTTGTGCAATTTTTTTTGTGTTCTCGTCAGTCTCCGGGGCTTCCGCCTTCTGCGGTCTCATTCCCCGCGCTTGTTGACACGCTTCCATTAAGCGCGTGTCATCCGCCGCCCTTGATTTTATGCACAAGCTGTGGGATGCGCTCCGTTCTGCAGCCGCGCGTCCTTTGAATCGCATTGGAGTCGTCATTATCCTCTCGCTCTTGTAACATTTCATCTATTTCTGCCCGGGAATGCGCCTGGCATGCGCCCACTTTATGGTTAAAACATGATGTGGCTTCTCTTTGAAGGCAGACGGTTTTCAGCGTTGCCCTCGTCAGGAGAAGTGCCTTTCACCAATTTAGCATGCTGAGGGCCCCCAAGCTCCGACATCTCAATCGAAAGGGGGTCACAGGATGGCATCGGCGAGTGTCAGAGAGTGCTGCTTAATTGCCAATCTAGGCTTCTCCGCGGTGTTTAAAGTATAATGACCCTTCACTTAATTCTGAGAATCCCCGGACCTGGCGCTGGATTGAATGAATATCAAAGACGACGACCGAACAGGGTGCAGGCCTCCGCTTTTCTATAACTGTCATAAGTCTAATGGACCTGTACTTCATGTCAACCCATTATCACAATAATGTATTTAATTTGCTGTATACGCTTTTTAACTAGACACCTTTCATACAAGCCAAGTTTGGAAGGAAGCCCAAAAAGAAAGAAAGACAAGAGAGAGAGAGAGAGAGAGAAGGATCCCAAGGTGGTTTGGCGCTCGCTAATAAGCATTTGAGAAATCCACCTCGGCTTTGTTCAGCTTCGTTCCATTTGCATTAACCCTACGAGCGCTGACAGGCTGAGAAGCCCCCCCCCTGTCATTCGTAGCATCTGCCACCGCCGTCTGCTGGAATTCGCAGGGCGCCGGGGCCCTTAATGAACGTCATTAGTGGGGAATGTGGCACCTTGGTCATCTGACATGGAAGGCCAGCGAGGGCTTAAAGTGAGTCTGTCTTTAGGCAATTGTGCACAGGCTTGCATTAATGTGGCATAGCAGGTACCTTAAGGGTCAGGCACCTGGCTTGTCTCAGATACAGGAGCCCCCAAACTCTAACTTGGAAGTACAGCTATTCTTAACAAGGGTTCTTGGAGTGATTGTAATACAGCCATTCTCAACCAGAGTTCCTCAGAACCCTTGGGTTGGAGAGACTAGTAAAGCCATTCTTAACCAAGGTTGAGCGGAACCCTTGCCTTGTAGAGACTGTAGTACAGCTATTCTCAAACCAGGTTACCGCAGAACCCTTGGCTTAGAGAAAGTTTAGTACAGCCATTCTCACCCAGGGTTCCTTGGAACCCTTGGCTTGGAGAGACTAGTTAAGCCATTCTTAACCAGGGTTTAGCGAAACTCTTGGATGTAAAAACCCTTGTTGTAGTACAGCTATTCTCAACCAGGGTTCGGCGGAACCCTTGTCTTGGAGAAATTGTAGTACAGCCATTCTTCACCATGGTTCTTCAGAACCGTTGGCTTGGAGAGACTAGTAAAGCCATTCTCAACCAGCGTTATGTGGAACCTTTGCCTTGCAGAGACTGTAGCACAGCTATTCTCAACCAGGGTTCCAACCCTTGGATTCAAGAGACAGCCATTCTCAATGAGGGTTCTGTGAAACCCCAGGCTTGGGGAGACTTCCGTACATCCATTCTCAATGAGGGTTCTATGAAACCCTTGGCTTGGGGAGACTTCCGTACATCCATTCTAAATGAGGGTTCTGTGAAACCCTTGGCTTAGGGAGACTTCCGAACAGCCATTCTCAATGATGGTTCTGTGGAACCTTAGGGTAATTCTAGAGGCTGTTACAGGGTTCATGAACTGTGGCTGATTGACCTCCCATCCGATGGTATCTGCATAGTTCCAGAGCCAATTCTACTTGACAGAACCAGAAGTATGACCCAATCATCTTTGGCATTCTTCCTACTAACCACTAATGTGGCATTTTCCCCATTGACCCCAGATGAACTGGTTTTAGTGATGGTTCCGCGAGACCCAAAAAATATTTTAGGGGTTCCTTTGGGGGTAAAAAGGTTGAGATTGTAGTATTTTGGTACACTGCACACCCCAGGATCAGGTGTTCCCAGGATGTGATGCATTTTAACGTTCTCAGGCTATTGGGGGGAACTTTTTAATGCCAACTGGTACACAGTGATGTCAATGGAAACATTTATTTAAAATGTAGAACCCAAATCTATTGGAGAAAATGACATTTTAAAAAAGAAAAATCATTTTAGGGTCTGAGTTCCCCCGCCCTATCACATCATTAATTCTTCCACATGGGTATCACTGTTACGGGAACGTAGCAATTAGAAAGTGTTTTTTGTCCTTTCTTCTGCCCAATCCCCTAAATGTAAGACGTAAAACCTTTTCTGTAGCTTTCGCTCTTTCCTTTGGTTGAATCTTTATCATTACGCTTTTGCTACACCTAAGTGCGGGGGTCCCGTCAAACAGACGTAAACCCAATCATCAAATTCTCATATAGGTCATTGGCATGCAAAAATATTACCCGGTGACCCTGACATAAAGGACCTTGTTCAGGTACTTCCTGTTATAAGGTGACAACGCTTTGTCCCTGTCTCCCTATTGTGCTCCTGCATCGTCACCCTGTCACACAGGAGATGGAGGCTTTCCTATTGTCAGGAAACCCGCCATGAGAAATGCCAAGCAGCCATCACTAGACTGCATTAATACAGGAAGTGGCTGCAAAGGCAGGAGATCAGCAGCACTGAGATGCAACAAAATACGGAAAAAAAAGGCGAAAACTGTATCTTATTTGAAAAAATGGCAATCATTTATGATGCACAGAGCACACAAAATATTCTGTAGGGGTTTATATCCATGATACATGTTGTGCTTCCGCTCTGGGATGAGTCTGAATTGAGTCATTGTCTGATCGTCCCCCGGTATTATTCATACAAGAAGAATAGAGCCCGGGCTTCCATAATCACGGGGATTAGCACAATGCTCAGCGCATGTTATACATATGTTAATAAGATTTAACCTGTAGCCTCCGATTCTCATTACAATTCCGGGCTCCGGCACATCATACGGCACTGTCATTTCGGGGATATGGCGGCTCGCCTCGCCTGAGCTGGGCGACTCAAACCGCACGTAGGAAACTTTACGCAAAAGGACAGAGGCGGTTATTTTATATCCCGGCCGCTTCTGACCTTTCCTTCTAAAAAAATAAGAAAAAAGTTTCCCCGGCATCAATACTCCGCCGCATGCTTGCTCCGGGGGAACTAATAACTACAGCCATGAAGCCAGAGACAGCCAGGCAAGAGGCTTTTTCAGAAACGACTTAGTTACATAGTATTTGGGGTTGAATAAAGACATACGTCCATCAAGTCCAACAGGTCCACGCATCATCTCATTCTTAGGGATACTGGTATCTTAATTCCCTTTCTACAGGTTTCCGTAAATCGATAGACTCTATGTGACCGACCGGTTTTGTTCAGCAGGGATGTCAATCGCATTCCCTTTTATACAAAGAGCAACTCAACGATGCAAAAACAGCTCACAGTCCGAACTGACTGAACACATAAATGCACCGGACCGGGTGACGGGACCATCAGTGACCTTTTAATTGATGGCTGGGACGGAGATGGCGGAGGGGGACAGAGCCTGCATTTGCACAGTGCTGAAGAAGAGAACACTAGTGTGTCATAATGTGCAAGGCCACCCAACAGGTAATGACTTAATATCGCTTTAATGATGTGAAAAGTATCAAAGTATAATAAACCCATTTCTTTATTGGAATGTTCACTGGTGCCCCTAGTGGCCATTATGTTCTATCACATGCAGGAGTTACAATTGTATCTCTATCTATCTATCTATCTATCTATCTATCTATCTATCTATCTATCTATCTATCCATCCATCCATCTATCCATCCATCTATCATCTATGCATCCATCTATCCATCCATCCATCTATCCACCCATCCATCCATCCATCCATCCATCTATCCATCCATCTATCATCTATGCATCCATCTATCATCTATCCATCCATCTATCCATCCATCTATCCATCCATCCATCCATCTATCCATCCATCCATCTATCCATCCATCTTTAAATTCAGCTATGCACTAACAACCACCTCAATAGGGATTGCTCACAAAGCTTGGCAATATATATATCCCAGTGTGTATTACCTCTAAGTGTAATTTGTATACAGTATATACCCTATATGTATCTGGGTCAGTCACATTAGCTTATGACATAGGCAGATAATGCTTCCTCCTTTCCAGCGCTAAACATTGGTTGTGCTTTACCACTCCTTCTCACAATGCAAGTCTTTAGGGGTTATTTAGAAACCGCTCGCACAGCTTCTTCACTGAGCGAACGAGACTCTGAATCCTGTAGGACCACATGAGAAAATGTCCTATACTCCTCAGCTCCATCTAGTGGCCATACAGAGATACGGGTCTTGTTCGCACAGCGAAGTGGTTTATAAATCAGCCCCAATGGGTCGGCCAACCCACTGAAATCAACGCACTGCCTGTATGGCAGAAATCTTATCACAACAGTTGTTAAGCAGAGAGTAATTACAATGAAACACAGACCTCCCTCTAGCTAAGGGGTGGACAAATGAATATGGAATTCAGCAGTCAGTCTCTCCAATATAAGAGCCAGATCCATTGACTACAACTAGAGAAAACCTCGAAAGTTGGGCACCAGCTGTACTTTTTAAGGAGCAATGGCTGCCCGGCTCCTGGGATTTGTCCAGCCCTGGTCTAGTGGCTAATCTCCAAATCTCTATACATAATACAACAACAAAAACATCACATAAGCAAATATTTGTAAAGCGTGAAAGTCACATATAATTATATATAATAAGTAACATATCATTTTGAGTTACACAATAGCTTAAAACATGCGCTCAATGCATATACAGTATACATTATGTCATCAGTTTACCTCCACTGAAAAGAAGGAGATCTGCTAGGTGTGAATTTTGGGGCTAAGCCCTTCACAATTGGCTAAGCAAGTTTTGCTGGATTCAGCATTAATTTAAAAAAAAATTGCCCGGGGCAGCTTTATAATCCCAAAACAATTATATCAAAAACAGTCATTCAACCCATAATCCTTTTTTTATTATGATGCTTCTGTGTAGTTACTTAGTCAGGTTGACTGAAGACACATGTCCATCAAGTTCAACCAAAAGGGCATTACAGCTTGTAATGAGGCTTATAGGAGAACTATGGTGGTCAGGGCTTTTCCCCATAGTTCTCCTAAGGGTCACGGGAGGACATAAACTAGCGTCCTCCCGTCACCCTAGGCTCAGTATATAGAGAGCTACAGCTCGCGGTATATTGAGACCGCCGCAGCCGTGACGGATCCCGACATTACTGTTGAGATCCACCCAGCTGCGTGAGTGACAGCTGGCTCTGCCTATCTAGAGGCAGAGCCAGCTGTACCCGCCCCCTCCCCCGTTCGTTTCTCCAGTCAGCGCCGGGAGGGGGAATCCCCTGACAGTCACGGCTCTCTGTAGGGACATGATCGAGAAGTGAGCGAGCGACGGTATGTGTTCGCTCACTTCCCGATCTACTGAGCCGACCTGTGACAGTCTCATTGTCACACGTCGGCTCGAACTATGAGGAGGAGTGATTTTCACTCCCCTCATAGTTCTCCTTTAATAAAAAAAAATTGCCCAGGGCAGCTTTATAATGCCAAAACAATTGTTACGGTAATTCAATCCAAAGTCCTTATTTTATTATGATGCTTCTGTCTAGTTACATTGGTTAAATGAAGACACATGTCCATCAAGTTCAACCAAAAGGGCACCATAGCTTGCAATGAGGCTTAAAGAAGAACTACTTCCCGATGTGTGACAGTTTTATTGTCACACGTCGGCTCGAACGATGAGGTTGAGTGAAAATCCCTCACCTCGTAGTTCTCCTTTAACAATTTCTCAAGTTTAAAAATAACAAAAACATGTTTAGTATTAAAAAAAAAAACCCAAAATAAAATAACCAACCAGGCAATGGCCAGGATGGACCCGCTATCATAAACAATTGACGTTTACAAGACAATTCCAACCCAACAATAGAAGACTTTGACCAAGAAGAGGCAACTCACCTTGACATGGAAGCATTAACTGTAAGGGCCGTGGGGTACGGGTGTCGGAAGCCCCCTGTTGTAATTGGGTAAACTGGTTGACCTTGCCTTGTAAGAAGAGAGGAAACAAAGAAAAGAAAAAGTTACAATCTATATCCGGAAATAAATAAAAAATTCCCAGCATTCTCATCTAATCAAGACGAAAAAAAATCTTGGGGCTTGTACGGCTGGAGATCAAAGAAGACAATGTGAGTGCCATAAATCTGGTACGAACGGGCTAATTAAATTTTATAACCT